AATGTCATATCAATGGATTGAGCCAAGATATCTTGTATCTCTGCATTCGTCTCATTATCGAAAGACAACGAATCTACACCTTGCATTCCAGTGAAGCTATCATCGAGAAGACTCTCATATCCCGAGTCTCCAGCACTCATGACAGATTGTACTTCATCGGGCTTAATCATGACTTTCGACTGTTGCACCATCATTTGCTTCTCATAAGTCTGCGCAAGGCGGATATCGACTTTAGCGCTGAGCTCAGTCATGACATTAGCAGCGCTGGCAGCTTGAGCGAAATTGTTACCAAAGTTATCGAAAACAGCGATGGCGAGGTCGAGAGCACCTCTTGCTGCTCGAGTCTGTGTGCCTTGAGGATATGCGAAGATATAACCGACGAGAGTCATTGCACAGTTCCACTGCCACTGGAAGGATTCCTGCCAACCTGCTAGGATCGATGTCGACAAGATTACATGATGCATGATGTGCGTCAACTGCATAGCATGGCCGACACATTTGAGTGCGATTTGTTCTGAGAGAGCACTGGGTGTGCTTGCTGGATTGAAGATGATGAACGGCCGGCAGAGGTTGGTGCTGAGATTGTGATACATAAGTTCCAAGAGGAGTCGTTGTCGTTGAAGCCACAGTGGTGCGAATGGCTCGATGTTAATATGTGATAGATCTGTGGAGAAGGGGGACCCGCCATTGAGACGATCAGTTTTGAGTGCCATGGGTACACCCCTGAGCCATTCATCCATTCGCTCTAAGTGTGGTTCCAGCATATCTGCATAAGTTGCAAGAGTTTGTAAGTCATCCCAAATGGTTCCTCTTACGTTGACTGTATTAGGGACTGGGGTATCGTAAAATGCAGAGTAGGCAGATCGAGCAACAAGCAACAGTTTCGTATTGTGAAGATTCCAAGTCAACCAGGTAACATTATCACCCAGAGGTGCAAAGCTTTTTCCTGCAGCAATGGCAACATCGCGGTCGTCTGTAGGAAGGGTGCATGTAGTATTACACTCATGAACCAAAAATGGACGTCCGAGTTTCATACTCATTTTACTCTCCAGAACGTAGAGCGTCCACCACATGCGTTTCCGCAGTTCTCTTTCTTTTCTTGGCATTTCTTGGGGAGGCTCGACATGTAGACCAAGCATATAAGCTGTTCGTACAGCAGCGCTGCAAGCGCTGTCTGCCATGTTTTGAAATGATCCACAACAGAGGTATATGGAACAGAGAATATGACATTGGAGAGTAGCTATTGTGGGTGCTTCTAGATCGGCTGCCAGTAGAGATTGACAACGTCGGTAATGCCATCTGCCAGCGATTGTTGCGTCATTGACGTTTACATTAGCTCTCGAGCCGGGGTTATGTGCGCGTGTTACATTGGGCAGAAAAGACATGCCGTACTGCATACACATTGCGAGGATAATATCGACAAGCGCGGAAGGTTTTCTCTCTTTGTCAGAATTCTTCCATAACGACTGGTAATGTTCTTTGAATTCTTGTTCATCGATAATGGGATTTGAGGTATAGTATGATTGCCAAAAGAGCCCAAGAAAGTACTCTTCTTGTGTTGGTGAAAGATAGTCACCAACGTTGAGGGGGTCTTCTATCGGGACCATCATCCCATTCTTGTTGTCTGATGTGTCTGCTGTAGTCGGTCCATCGAGCACCTTACTCGCCGAGTTCGGTAACATGGCATGAGCAGAATGTTTTTGGTGTAGTGAAGCGGTCAAGAAAGTATTGAGGCGCCCGATGAAATAGTACAGTGATGCTGAACCATACCACGTCTTTTGTGGGGAACGCGCTGTGCTAATGTGAATGCCTTCCCATTCTCTCTTGATTGAGTTTGCGTCAAATTCAAGGCCGCTCATACCACCCAAGCCACTCATACCGCTTAATCCAGTGTCATGTCCCGATCGGGAACTTCCAATACTATTCGGCGGTGAAGGAAGTCCATGTGGAGGAAGCATTTGCATGTTTTGTTTGCTATCGCTTGAGCGCTCTTTATCGAGTTCCTTTTCAAGTTCTTGCACTTTTTGCTTAAGGCGTTCAATCTCACGATATGCATGTGGAAGGGTTGCCAACTTCATAGCACCGCTATTGCTGCAGTTGCCGCCTCGAGTTTTGCAGTTGTTACACGGATGGTCATTATCGCATTTGATCCGGTGAACTCGACACCAATCGCACGCTTTGGCCACTTGACTTCGTTTTTGACGTGGACGGGGCCGTGGTGGAGGTTCTGGGGATGCAGAAGTACTAGGCGTAGTAGAAGGCATGCTCACGAAAGTGGTGAACATTTTGGGAGTAATGTGACGGGTATCAAGTAGAGAGACGGAGAGGAGATGCGCTGGAGAGATGACGGTGGCTAGATGGATGTATATGCGACACCGCAGCAACTGAGATTTGATAGCAGATTGCTACAAAACCTAGCAGAAGGCTGTTGCTCGTGATCAACGGTCAATTAGTACCTCCTAAGATCAATTTTAGGAAAGTTGAAAGTCTCAAGATATGAGCATAGAGGAGGATACCAATCCTGTATGTACAGAATATGGAGTTTGTATGATTTGCGGTGTCAAAAGTGCGAGCAGATCTCTGGTATTCTTTATTTGTGCACGGGCGGCACAATTAATGTGTTTTGGGTGCCAAGGGGTCTACCCCAACCAGCCCCACCTGAAGGGACCCGGGAAGATAGATGGCTAGAATGCCACAAAACAACATACGGCTTTTACGGCTTTGTACTATTCGATTTTTCCGTGGATGATGCCTAGTGTCAATACCAGAAAGGTCTAGAGAGAGATGAAGTATCTAACGAACTAAGATGTATTGCTTTTAGACGTGATGTCAAACGCTTTGGTAGGGCTTAACCAATGATTCATCAGAATGCTAATGCTCACAGATAAATCGACATCTATCGGAATTACCGTCGATATCATACCAATCTACATCATGCATATGATGCATTACAAATTTCTAATCGACTTATCTGAAAAGAGTTACCAAGCTTTGACTACTTAGGTACCGGTGCAACTGATTGAGGCGGAGATAGCGTTTTGGGCTTCGGAGAAGAGCCTATCGTGCCTATGAGCCCCATAAAGGCTGCACTAAAACCCATGTTGATCTGTCAAAATGCATCGTAAATAGCACCGGAAAACGCTTGATTATTATCAGCCCTTTCTTTCACCATTCCACCCCACCTACTGAAAACTGCCTGCGGAGTGTATAATCTTATTTCCAAAAGGGAACTCTCTCAGCACGACCTATCAACTTCAAAAAGCTAATCCACAGCACTATTGTCATGGATAGGACGTTATAATCGATAGGAATACCCACTGCGAGTGTACGTACTTTCATCACACCACCTAATTTTAGCTACGAGGTCATTTAATACTACAATCTCACTCAAAACAACAATGTCACCAATTACTGCAAGTAATTGAGTTCTCACACATTCAGATTGCACTCGGGTCCTCGCCACGTGCAAGGCTTTCATTGATAACACCAATTAACGGCCACCCGAAAAGTTAGTACGGCCACAAAATTACTGGCTGGAACTTCAAATTGAACGTACTCGGGTCCGAAGCCGTGGAATCCGAACCACGGCAGAGAGCCGACTCAAGTTTTCTTCATGACAATGTCTTGAATACATGGCCCGGCTTCCTTATATCGGATGAATAAGCCGAGAGATTTAAATAAGCTTACTTCGTTGCCAAAGAATAAGATTTGCCGAGTCCATATGTCTTTTCGCTACTTCTGTATTCCGTCGTTGCGAAAGCGAAAACAGTGGGAATTCTGTTTCAGTTGCGAAGACATAGGATTATGGCAAAGTACCCTTGATGAGCATTATTTGAGCTTCATCAGAATGTTACCGTACGGAGTATGGTAGTAGCCGGTTCACTCGGCATTGTAATCGGTGTTTCTTGGTAAGCATGGCATTTACGATTATCAGCGCAAGGTCCAAATCCTTCGTAATGAAAGGGCTTACCGTCATTGGTCTTACCATCTAAACACCTTCATCTCAGCGTTTCACTTCATGATAGGGCGTTGATTGAAAGACGTATTATTTCTAGATATAGAATGTGCCTAAGGCACGGATCCGATTAAATTACTATCTTATGCAACGGCATGTTTCTTCAGCGGGGGGAACCTTATTAATGATCCCGCGCGTATGGGTGTGATGTAATCCCGCCTATTTTTTCGGGGTCTTGCAGATATGCAGCGGGCCCGAGTCCATACATGCGGTGTATCCTGTGGTTTTCCAGAACCTTGTAGACCCTGAGTTCTGCATGGTCTCGGGGAACCAGGCAACAACCATCAGCATCTATAGCTTAAACATGAAGAAAGGCTCACGTGAGGCTGAGTGAGCCAAGAAGCTTAGGAACTTGGGACCAAACACTCGGATTCACTTCACAAGACTGCCTGCAGTTACTGGGACAGTTTTCAATCACGGTACCTGGCTATTTGCTCTAGCTCTTCAAAATGATGCAGTGATCATATATCAAAATGTTGTAGAACAGAAGGTACACAGTCGTCGGTCTTTGCCCGGACCGGATTAAAGTTCGGGTGCTTATGTGATGAGATCAAAGCCGTGATATCGCCTTGAGACATTCATCAGTATTGGCAGCCCTAGCTCTTCTATAGCTTATCTTCCTCTGCTGATCATGGTTCGAGGATACGAGCTAACGCGGGACTAGGCTCCCGCTGCACGTTCATTGCATGTAAGCAGGGTTACCACATGTCAACAACGTGAAAACGCCAGCAGTTCGGTTCCCAAAATATCGACATTCGTTGATCCTACCTCAGAAACGAGCTGAACAAAGCTTAACCTCGCTGTCTCTGCGCCGTACGCGATATTCCGGCAAGCCAGGGTTCTTTCTTCAACACCCTCGACTTCATGGTATGGAATATGATTCGATGCGGGCTATGAAGTGAGACTATACGATAGTAAACATCATGGGTGATAGGAACGAGGGCGAAAAGGGTCTGAGAAGTGGTCTAAGCATCAACTTGAACGTCTATATAAACGGCTCAAAGTCTCGACGTTAAGCTCAATCCTCATCACCATCATCTTCTTCCTTCCTCAGCTTCATTCATTGCAGAAGAATCTCCTCCGATTGCCATCATCACTTCACTTGAAGATCACTTCATTCCTCGCACCTTTGCATACTATCCTTCTTACTAGCAGATATGTTTAGCAAAGACTTTACAGCTGTCGGGCTGGCAGCTCTCTCTTTGGTCTCTCAATCGCAAGCAGGACCTACCTTGGGTACTTCTCATCTCAAAGCAAGAGCTCTCTTGGGTAACTCTTTTGGTGTTCCTGGACGCAATGCCACTTACGACTACGTTGTAGTAGGTGGTGGCAATGCCGGTCTAACTATCGCCATGAGATTGGCTGAAGCTGAGGCTGGCAGCGTTGCTGTCATTGAAGCTGGAACTTTCTATGAGATTAGCAATGGAAACATCTCTCAAGTCCCTGCCACTGATGGTGTATTCGCTGGAAAGGGTGCTACCGATTGGCAACCTCAGATCGATTGGGGTTATCAGACTACCGCGCAATCTGTAAGTTCTAAGACTATGATTTGAATTGGAAATCACTTACTGACATTCTCATCAGGGAGCATTCAACACTTCTCTTCACTATGCTCGTGGTAAGACTTTGGGAGGTTGTTCTGCCAGAAACTTCATGGTCTATCAACGTGCAACTGTTGGATCAATGCAGAGGTGGGCCGACGAGGTTGGCGATGATTCCTATGAATGGGATAACTTTCTTCCTTTCTACCAGAAGTCTGTCAACTTCACTGCTCCCGACATGAGCCTTCGATCGGCCAACTCCACTCCAGAGTTCGTTGCTGCTGATGCTGCAGTATTCCCAGCTACCGGTCCACTTTCAGTCACTTGGTCCCACTATGCCCAAGCTTTCGGAACCTGGGCCATCGAAGGTCTTGCTCAAATCGGTGTACCGGTGATTCCTGGATTTTTGGGTGGAAGCTTGATTGGAGCTTCATACCCTACATTCACCATTGATGCTGAAAAGATGACACGTGATTCTTCCGAAACTTCTTTCCTCAGGGTCGGTATGAAATCACCTGACCTCAAGGTTTACACTCTGTCCATGGCAAAGAAGATCCTCTTCGACGATAGCAAGAAAGCAACCGGTGTTCTTGTCGAGACTGGTGGCTACCCATTTACTTTGACTGCCAACAAGGAGGTCATCTTGTCTGCTGGTGTTTTCGGATCTCCGCAGCTTCTTATGGCTTCTGGTGTTGGACCCGCAGAAGAATTGAGTGCCATCGGTATTGATGTCATTGCCGACCGTCCAGGTGTCGGAAAAGGAATGCAAGATCATCTGTTCACTGGTGTCGGATACCGTGTCAATGCTCCTACTATTTCAAGACTTGTGAACGATCCTGAGTATGCTGCTGAGCAACTTGAGATGTACGAGAGCACCCCAGCTGCTGGCATGTACACTAGCCCCGATACTGATGTTCTTGGATGGGAGAAGATCCCCGAAAAGTACAGAAGCAAATGGAGCAATGAGACTCAGAAAGCTTTGGCTGAATACCCTGCTGATTGGCCTGAGGTTGAGTACATTGCCATCTCTTCTTTCCTAGGCAACCAGGTCATCGAGGGAACTGATCCAAATGATGGATTCAACTATGCCACATTAGCAATTGCTCTCGTCGCTCCTCGATCCCGCGGATCTCTTACCATCACCTCCGCCGATACCAATGTTGCTCCTTTGATCGACCCAGGTTTCTTGACCGAACAATCTGACGTCGACATCATGGTTGCTTCAGTCAAACGTGTCCGTGAATTCTACGCCACCGATGCCCTTCAAAGCTTCGTCATTGGTGACGAGTACTTCCCCGGATCTAACATCTCGACCGACGCTCAAATCGAAGACTTTGTCCGAACCAGTTTCAACACTATTTGGCACGCAACATCGACCTGTGCCATGGGTCTTGTCAACAATACCAACACTGTTGTTGATAACCAGGCCAGAGTTCTTGGTGTATCTGGCGTCCGTGTCGTTGACGCTGCCGCTTTCCCACATCTTCCTCCTGGACATCCTATGTCCACAGTTTGTAAGTCTTATCCTTCCTATAAAAATTAGCAATTGAACAGTAACTAACACTCCATTCAGATGCTTTCGCTGAGAAGATCGCTTGCGACATTATTGGTTGTTAAGCAGTTCGCCTCAAAGCGCCACCATCCAACATCATCTCTAACCATCACTCCTCACTTTGATCCAACTTCTCTTTATTATGTCGTCGATAGATCCTTTTTAGAAGCATCATGGCTATATCACTCATCTCTTCTTTTCTTTTGACCTCCCGCCAACTGCGGCGGAATATTTTGATGCACCACTTGAGTTCCAAGATATTTCGCACACCAAAGCACGCAGAGTACTCGAACACTATCGATCTTTACGCGCAGACCTTGTTAGCTGGATGCCACTGTACAACAATTGCTCGCATCCTCATTCTGAGGGGTAGCTTGAGCATCGTTGGGTTTTTTCTTTTTTGATGTAGTATTTGGGCGGCGGATTTCTTTCATATGTACCGTACAGAGGAAACAGATGTACTATACAGTCATAGATATATAGTGGTAACCATGTTTTCATATAGCAACTCACACACTTCCCATATGCTTTGCAGATCGTGACCGAGTTTCGTCGATTATGGTGACACTGCAGAATTAGCCAAGAAAGACCAGGGGATTGGCCTAATAGCATCGCGATAATCTACAGACTTTAATACTGAGCAAACGCAGGTTTTTGTCATGATTTTTGCTTTTTGATTTATTTCATACCATCACCACCAATCATTGGCCTTCGCATGGAAAAATAACTGTTGGATAGTATTTGCTAATCCTTGAAACATTTTTAAAATTTTGCAGCGTGTGGAAACCAACTAACACCATTCATTATCCATGCAGATATCAATTTTTATCATTGTCAATCTTGTTCTGTTGGTTGAAGTTGGTGTTCGATGATGTTACCGAACATCATTCATCAAGGTTCGAATTATTATGAACTTTCAAATTCTTCTAATTGCTTAACCAGCAACTTCACCTTAACTTCTAGTATCAATATCTAACTTCAAAATAATGAGCTTTGACTATGAAGATTTTGACCAACTTTCGTCCAAATTCTCAATCCTCATTACTCGTGAAGATTCTGTTCGGGTACGGGTTCTTTTCCGATTAACGTCAGAGATGTCTCGGCTAAATAGAGGATGCCTTCGGATAACACAACTTCACCGAAAATCATTCATTACCGAGCTCTCCCGAAACCTTTTCCGTCCCCACTTCTTCAATTACCTGCAGATCTTCCACTCTACCCGCAGTTCCCATTCCTTCCCGCTCAGCCCCAAAGCGCATGCCCCGAGTCAGAACTAGGGGATGCAATACATTTACAACATTGTTTGCTTCAAAACTCGTAAATTATCCAACCATTTATTGATGGCGAGCAAAATGTCTCATGTACTGTTAATCATGTTCCACGCAGGTCCTCTCACGGATAGTTCAGAATCATGCGGTAGGCTGAATTGAAGTCATGTGATGTAGTTCTAGCCCCCAAATTCAAGCAATAAGCATGTTATTGCTAAGAAAACTAGGATCGCCAAGCAAAGCTGTGAAAGCTTGGTGGTAAGTGGAACAGATCATGTTTATATATTGATTCATGCAAAGGCTGTGTAACGGGACCCGAATAGATGAACCAACGGTGAAGTAAGTTGGGCGGTTCAGCCGACACGGCGTAATTCATTGTATAACCAAGCCGATCACGTGCACCAGTTATGAAGTTCATGATCAAGGTTGATTTTCAAGGTCACATGTGTGTGTGATTGCACCAGCCACTAGGTAAGCCGCTTTACTGAGCCACCCATCACAAGCCACCACAAAACTTAAGGACACATCCATCTCAAAAAGTGGAAAACGCTCGAAGTTAGAAATGGATGAAGAAGATGAAGGATTCTGGAAGGACGAGGGGATTAGAATGATCAGTTGAATTGATCTTGACACCTGAAGATTTGAAGCAATGATCGTCAGGTAACTTATATTATATCCAGTCACTTTTGTTTGGGGCAAATGATGTAATTGTGATGTTATTAAATTTGTTTGTGTTTTATCGATAATTAAATATGAACAATAACCTTAATCGTGATTCATGAATGAAATCCCAAACTCCTGATCCATCTATCCCAATATCTTATCTAAACCAATACCCAAGTCTATCATTCATAAATTAAAAGAGATGCATGAAAAGATACATGAAATGAAAAGTGACAAAGGAAATTCGTTAAGTGACAGCCATGTCTAATTCAAAGCCAAGAAAGCATTTTGAACTGCTACAGGCTCTTTGATACCCCACTGAACCATCCAGTTCTCCAACCACACTCTGTTCAAAGGACCGAGATTTCTCAAAGTCTTACTGGCAGACTGAGAAACGTTGGTAGGTAAGGTACGAGCACCCTTCTCAACGGCACCACCAGCTGCTGCCTTGGAGTAGAACTCAAGAAGGCGCATGGCGGGGTTGGCGTCAACATCGACTTTGCCAGTGCGCTCAGCTTCATCCACGGAAGCTTTGAGTGCGTCAACCCATTGCTCAAACTTGACTGGCTTGACCATGCCTTCAGGGTAAGCGGCGAGGAGGTTCTGTCCCAAATCCTCTTCCCAGCTGGAGAACTGTGGGTTGACAACGTGGAAAGTCTTGCTGTGGAGAGGAGCAGAAGAGATAGCGCCTGTAGCGGCGTCAAGTTCTGGCTGAGATGCGGTCTCAAGGATCTCGCACAAGACCTTGGAGAGCTTGTCGACTGGAAGCCAATCGATGTGATCTCTGGATGGGAAGGTCTCTGGGACAACACCGAGATGGGCGGATGAGACAATGATAGATGGAATGTACTCGTGTTTGTTCCACATTCCCTTTTGTTGTTCAACTGGACCGGCTACGATACCAACACGGCAGACAGCAGTACGGACACCGGAGATTTGAGCGGCTTTCTCGAGGAGGGCCTCAGCGATAAGCTTGGATTGACCGTATCCCATAGGTGCTGCGGCAGTGAAGTCGAGGATCGGTGCCTCAGGAACACCACCAACTCCTTTGTATCCACCAACGGCGGCAATGGATGAGATGAACATCACGAAAGCGTTGTTGGTAGAGCTGGAAGCCATTTGAGCGAGGTTGCGAACACCAGTGATGTATGGCTTGAATGAATTGAGAGTCCAGTTGAAGTTGACTGGCCATTGGCAATGAAGGACGTGGGTAACATTCTCCAAAATCTTAGTGTAGTTCTCTTGTCCAACACCCAATTGAGAGTCAGAAAGATCTGCCTTGAGGAAAGTAACTCTCTTGGGATCAATGGGGCTTAATCCTCTTGCAACGATGGCTTGTTGATATTTCTCGGCACCACCAGCAGAGCGATCAAGAGCGTAGATGTGCTTAACGTTGGAGTCATTGTTCATCTCATTGAGGAGGTATGAACCCAATGAACCGGTAGTACCAGTGAGGAGAACAGTAGTACCGGTAGTGACTGGTGTGACACGAGGCTTGGACTCGACTGGTAGGGTGGAGACAAATTCTTGGAAGAGAGACTCCATGGCAGTCAATTTAGGATTTTTGACTTCCTTCTCGTTAGGATCGGCACTTTGGTAGGCACTATCAGGATCTTCAGGTGCCAAATCTGCTGTCTTGTAGAGGAACTCAGAGAGCTCAACCAAGGATGGATTGGAGTATACAGAAGCTGGTGAAATGGAGTCCGGAGTGAGGTTGTTGCCACCAGTGAGTTTGGCATGGATCTTGAGCTCACGAACAATCTTGATGACATGGAGAGAATCCAAGCCAGATTCGAAGAATGCTGAATCAGGTCCAAGATTTTGAATGCCGGCGGTCTCCTCGATGAGGTCTTTTAGCCATTTAGCGATGTTGGTGCGGTCGGAAAAGTCCACTCGCATGTCACCGACTTCACCTTCTTGATCATCGAGATTCTCGGCAGCAGTGTAGACATCTTCGATATCTTTCTCGTACAATCTGTATGTCTGATGTCTTTGGATCTTACCTTGACCAAGGTAGTGCATTGGGCGGCTGGGATCAACAAACAAGATATGGTACTGATCAAGCTGACCGTGAGCAGGAGCGTGGACATTAGCTTGGGCAATAGCTGGAAGCATGTCCTTGATGAGAGCGTGGCGATCAGCAGCGCTAGCTGGTGGAGCATCCTTGAGGTCGACAAGAGCAGCTGGTTGGAACTTGCCACGACCGACAACCATGGCACCTTTGACGAGTGGACTGCTGCAAAGAGAAGCCTCCATGAGAGCTGGGGCAAGTTTCTCTCCATTGCTGAGGACGATAACATCGTCAGCACGACCTCTCCATTTGTACAAGAAAGGCTTGGCTGGATCAGGGTGGCGAGAGTAGAGATCATTCATGGAGTACTCCTCGAGTTGAGGGAAGGTACTGAAGATACCCTGGTAGTAAAGATCTAATTCAGGCTTTCGCTCAATGTAGAGCTCGTGAAGACCGTCCATGTACTCTCTGAAGACAATACCAGAGTGAGTTGGGTGCCAGTAGAAGTAAGCCCAATCCTCGACGGCAGGAGCCAATCGTGGAAGACAGGCAGTCTCAGTAGCTCCAAAGTTGGAAACAACTCTGCAATGCTTGGAGATAATATCACCGGCAGTCTGGGAGATGGCAGCACCACAAACGAGAATGTAGTTAAAGTTGTGGATACGCTCGAGGGATTTGGGATCGTGGCTCAATTCCTCATAGATGGATGGGGGGCCAATTGAAGCGTCGACACCACCATACTTGTGGATCTCGTCGGCATATGCAGCGTGAGGTACGACATTGGCAGAACCGTAAACAGTGGTGACACCGAGAAGGAGAGACATGGTGATACCGATGTTCAAACCACTAGTGTGGAACAAAGGCATGAGATTGTAAGCCCTGCGAGATTGTTGGTAGACTTCAGTTGTTGGAACATATCCGTCGACTGCTGGGATAGTTCTCCAAGCCTCATATGTGCTGAGGATCTCGTTCTTCCAGGTAATAGGCTTTGGAAGACCGGTGGAGCCGGTAGTGTGGAGGACGAGACATGGGTCGGTTCGTGCCTCAGCAAAAGACTTGCTGTAGGGATAGGCGCGGACCTCTTCATCTTCAAGCAACTCTTCGAGTTCTGGCACTGTTGCAGTGCGCATGTTGCGTTGGCTCAAGATGTTCTCAACATGAGTGTTGCGAGCTGTCAAGAAGATGTGGCAGTCGGACTTCTCAAGAACATTTAGAGACCCGGCGACGCTGTTACGGGGAGAAAGATACAGCATCTTGTATCCGGCTTTGATAGCGCCGAACATGAAAAGAAAGTAACGAATGTCACCTAGTGGCCATGTTAGTATGTCAATTTCATTGTGGAATGGAAGGAATGTACTCACTGTGGCCTTGGTAGGCGACAGCTGGGAATTCACCAGCGGGGGCTTTCCCGAGGATTGACTCCAAGTACCAAGCGGTACGGTTGATTGCATTGGCAAAAGACCTGGCAGATACTTCCACGAAGCCATCTTGTGGCATATCAGTCTTTGGGTAAGCAAAGATTGAATGATCAGGAACCGATCTGGCAAGCTCATCTGGGATGAGGTGAACCAAACGGGCGGGGTTAGAGTTGGCTGCGGCGAAGGCGGCTGGGACATCAGATCGGAGAGTTCCTTGTTGAGACATGTTTAAAGATGGTTTGAGTGATTAAAGAAGTTGAAGAAGTTGATATTATTAGTATGAAGTATTGTTGGATGTAAAGATGGTTGATTGACTCAAAGAAGCTTTAGTGAAGGTGTTAGATGTAGATGGTTAGATGTCTAAGACTCAAGTATTGGAAAACTGGGAAGTGATGTTCTAGCGATGCCTTGATAGAATGTTGAAGATGTTGTTGATGATGATGATAAAAAAGTATTTACATCGACAACATCGACAACTTATATATCAGAATCTCGTTGACTATCGACATAGTGTGAAGTGTATACACTTCCCAAAAGAGTGTTTCCATACCGCGCAACAGGAACATTCCATTGAGCAGTGATGGTATTCGCGGGGAGCGGACAGCCGGAGCAGAGCTAACGGGCTACTTTCGGCCTACTCTATCTTCAATGAGATCAAGATTCCTATACCAAAGGTGTATGAACATTTCCTGCGCGAGATCTAAGATTGCTGTTGGATCTGGAGATGAGATTGGCGCGATTGGGAATTCGGGAGCTTGCAAAAATCTCCTAATGACAACATACCAATGGCTACTCCAGGAGTGGTGTTGCCCTATCTTAGTTTGTTACCTCCTACATGGTAGTAACGCTAGTACCATCGCGCTATGGTACCAATCGTACATCCTAGATCTTGCAGGAGTTTCATGATCCATTGCAACAGACGTTGATGGAGCTTCTAAATTGGGACTGCCAGACACGTTCTGGTCACTAACACTCCGCCATAGCTCCCGGAGCTTGGGCCATACATGCAATTGAGGGGCTTTCCCATGTTTTGATTATGTTCGTGGAGCAAGCATTCTGATAGAAAGTGTAATCTGATAAGGAGTTCAATGATACTTTGCTTTATCGAGTTAGTCTTCAAACTTAAGTAGGTTTGTACGAATTGGGATGCTTCACCGAAGCGTAAGGGAGAGACTGTTGTAAGTCTTGCGTGAGAATTTCCGGATTTCGCACTCAAAATGCAACGGCTGTGTGAAGAAAAATATTACGTACCGGTTTGGGATTGTGCACCAAACTTCACTGTCACTCGAATATGATCATAGCAAATTCATTCCGGTTCTCCTACCGAATCTTAGAGTTTACTTTGTGGAAATACTCCGGTCTTTGTCATTATCTGATATTGTTGAATGGAAAACTATGTGAGAAATACCAGCAGTAATCTTCGATTTGAATCGCTGTTACACAGACATTCTTCTAAACGCACTCTATTGCTTCGAAAGGAATACCCTTTCGGAGTACTGGACAAACAAGGAATGTAGAAAGGGTAAGGTAGTTGATGAGATGACCTAAAGGCTGCTCGAGAGTGGATGTAGAAATATTTATCACACACCTACACATGGATTCTAGACTCTCCAAGAATTAAATATTAAACAATTTATTTTTGGAATGTGTTAATAAATACAACAGATAGTAAACGGTTAAATGAAAGAAAAAATACGTATTTCTCCCGTTGTCATTGGCTATTGGGTTCTAAATCTGGGATTGGGACAATGGCAATGATGAATACGTAATTATGGAAATATTCAGAGTAGTAATTTGGAATGCAGGTAGTAGATATTTCCCCAAGTAGACTAGACAGATATAGGGAAAAAAATAGTACGCTTTTTTGTACCATACATCTAATGCCACTGGAAGAGCATAAAGTTTCGAAAAAAAAAAAGTCGTCACAACATGCTTACATAATTCCTTGGAAGAAGACCTGACAGCTTGTGACTTTCCAAGCATCAATAGCGTTGGGTAAGGTTATACCACAGATATTCTCCGGTTGAAGATTTGATTCTCTTCAACAACAGATGAAATGCATCAATTATCAAACCCGGCTCCCTGTCTCCGATCGTAAACAATCAGGAGCAACCGAACGGGACAAATGCAATGGAAAAGATTAAGGTTTGGCAGTTTCACGGGCCGAGCCTTACAACAATCCAGCTTGAAGAATATCAGCATCGACCCCACATTCTTTAGCGACATTTCACAACATCCTTCCTATTCCCCCTTTTGGTAATGGAGTCACGGAATCTCATCCAAGTCCTATATCGGTGGCCGCGAGTATAGATATCACCATTACCCCGACTATTTGAAATGAAGTGGACACCTCTTTTACTTTTTATTATCCCAAGATATAGCCGCGCCTAATTCAAAATCAGTTCACTCTACTGTTGAAAAAGTTAAATACAAGAATCAATATCTCGAAAAAATAATTAATCAAACCACTTTTAAAATCAATTGAAAGATCAAGCATGCCTTCTTCTACAAAACTTCCAACCCGTGCTTTGGGACGCAATGGTCCTCAAATTCCTGCCCTTGGCCTCGGACTCATGGGTCTAAGTAGTAAGTCCTTCGGAATTCATCAATGAATGAGAACTACATTGACAATTGTTTTAGCTTTCTATGGAAAACCTGGCTCGGATGAGGAACGTTTTGAGTTCCTTGATCGTGCTTATGAGCTAGGCTGCACTCATTGGGATTCGGCTCAAATGTATGGCGACAATGAAGTACTTTTGGGCAAATGGTTCACGAGAACTGGAAAACGCAGTGAGGTGAGATCGCATCAGCTTCCGAACACAAAGCTGAAATACGGGTGCTTATTGTTGTCTAGATCTTTTTGACTACCAAATTCGGTAACCATGTCACCCCAGAAGGTGGTCGCGAAATCCGAAACGATGCAGAGTACATCCGTCAATCTGTAGCAGAGAGTTTTGAAAAACTTCAAACTGATTACATAGATTTACTCTACTGGTAGGTGCACCCAAAATGGTTTCAAGAAAAATGTAGTTTATTCTCATGCGCATCCGAATAGTCATAGATTCACTGGAACAATTCCAGTCGAGACAATTGTTACGGTTATGAAAGAATTTGTCGAGTAAGTCTTCAGTCCCGTCATTTGTCTTTTCAGATACTGACTTCGGAAGTGCTGGCAAAGTCAAATATTTAGGTCTCAGCGAGTGTGGTGTTGATACTCTCGAACGTGCTGTTAAGATTCACCCAATCCACGCGTACCAAATCGAGTACAGTCCATTCTCTATGGATGTTGAGAAGCCAGAAGTTGGACTTCTTGACTGTTGCAAGAGACTCGGCATAGCACTTGTTGCCTATTCGCCATTGGGCCGTGGTATTCTCACTGGTCAATACAGATCAGTCGACGATTTCGACAAGGATGATTTCCGACGAACAATCCCACGTTTTGCCACCCAGGAGAACTTCGACAAGAATCTGAAACTCGTCGATACCATTACTGCAATTGGAAAAACCAAGAATGCCTCCCCGGGACAGGTAACACTTGCCTGGATGATTAAGCAAGACCCCCTCATTTTCCCAATTCCAGGTACCAAAAAGATCAAGTATTTGGAAGAGAATATTGGAGCTCTGTATGTGGACTTGTCAGATGAAGAGGATAAAGCAATTAGACAAGCAATTGAGAGTGCTGAAGTGGTTGGAACTAGAGTTGCTGAGCATCTCATGGGTGTTCTTGTGGTTGATACTCCTCCTCTTACCAATTAATTGGTTCAGGAGATGTTGGATATGGAACATGAGTCATTGGTGAAATTAGTTTTATAGAGAAGACACCTTATTATATGGTGCACCACAGAATTTGACCACGATTTTCTACATACCGCTTGAATATGCTTGTCCTATTTGTGAGGAATAAACTCTGTAATGTCTTTGGCTCAGGATTTTCATGAAAGTCAAAAGATATATGATGAATATTGGCATCTGCTTAGGTACTAGTCGTGTAAACATCTGTTTTATTTCCCACGAAACTTACTATTGAACTTAGGTACCGATCACCATCTCGACTTACAGGTGTCTGATAAAGTGATGATGAGCTATTCTCAATTCCAATGTCACTTACAGTTGATTTCGGGAAATCGAATGATGGCTTTCTCGAAATTGCATCAATGACTGATCATTTATCACTGACAAGCCAATTCTCACATTCAGATGGTGTAGTAGGACAATTTCTGTCGGAAATGCGAGACATACCTACCTACCTACCTGGTAATCTTTCAACGCTTTCGTGGGCTGAGGTTGTGCGTCTCACGTGGCTGGTGAAATGATGACATAATCATTGTTGTGGTGGTCCAGAACCTTAACCCAACCATCACAATCTAAGTTCTACCCCGAGTCAACAAGCACACGACTTCTTCATCTCGGGTGAAATCTTCAACAATACGATAGCCACGTAATATCGTGCTGCAGTAAATATTGGCTAAATGCACCCATTGGTATTCTATCCCGTCAGAAGTTCTGATGAGGTCTGAATTTGAGCTCCGAGGCGTGCACACAGTGCAGGTAATCATTTAGCGTGAACTTGCGGCACTACGACTAGGCTACGTCAAGAACTCCGGTGTTATATCAATTGGCTTCCATCCATTTGTAAACAATCAAAGCGGAAAGTTGCCGAGATGGAGTTATTGTATTGCCAGAGCTAGCAGACAAAGCGAGTGTTTGGAAGAATGAGGGATGTGTGTGAAGCATAGAGTGCGGAGAAAACAATCACCTTAGCAATTCCGGAGTTGAAGAAACTTTAATGAGCGCAAGAATGGGTGAAGTGACGAGGATTGCTTTACCGGACTCACGTTTTCGGTATACAGTCACCAAGCCATGGCTGACCGATGCATCCGAATTCTCAACCCGAAAGGTGTTTATCAAGTCGGCTCCCCAGCTCAGATTTCATTCATTCTTCAGTCCTCTCTCATCAACATCTCTACTATCTCTACATTCTTAATCAATATCTCTTTCGCCCTATTCATAGCCTCCTTAGTTGTCGTTTAGATCATAATGGCCCATCTCACCCCAGAGCATATCTTGCACCTTTACGATACCTTCGGAGAGCTCAGGGTGCTCGACGATATTATCCGCCATCGTTCCAGAGATAATCCTCCTGCTCCTATTCTGGGATATCCAAGAGTTGAGGATAATCCAAGCGATTATGAGACTTTCACTGGTCAACAGCTTGACTCATTCGTC